TTCTAACTCGTTCAGCAAGTCAGTAGAGGCATAATGGCTTTCTATTAATATTTTAAACCTATATGTGACCTTGACGAATGTGTGTTCATTCCAGTTTTGATGTATGTGCTATGGATAGATGTGAAAGCATTTTCAGAGCATTGGAGATCATAATGGTAATGCTGTAGACCACATTACAATGCAATGCTTGCAGTTGTATTGTACAATCATTGCCTTGTGCAATGCAATTACAATACTTGGCTTTTAGTGTCTATTTCTGAAATGCTGCATTTTGGAAGAGATGGGCATGTTCTAATTCTGATTTATGTGGTAGGAAATGTTGCTTCACTTGGATATGCATGGGTTAATGTAAATCTACTATAAAACTTTCCATTTGTTCATCACCTGCATTTAACATGTCCCTTAAGTAATCTATCCTCATTCATGCATGTCTCTAGCTGAGCGTACTACAAACATTACCCTTAAAAATATTAGTGTTAATTGAGGTTATAATTCATAGCCAGTTAAAGGCCCTTTGATCATTATTTCTTACAAAGAGTGAACCATTACTTAATCTTTGTTAAAGAGAGCTAAAAGACACTGCACAAAGAGACAAAGATCCAGAAGCGTGACAGAGTGATAAAAATAAAGTCAAAGTTAAGACTGTACACAGAAACATAAGTATACACTTGACTGTTTTTAAATATTTTGGAAAACAATTACATTCCATGCTTTTGGTTTGGAAATTAAAATTTATTAATGGTCAGGAAAATTAACACTGGCTCCCAAATACGAGTCATTCAAGGTAAGAAACAGTTCTCATAGAATGCCAGTTGCCTTGTTGATGAAATGAGCAGATGGTGATTCCCCATGTGGCTCTTTTGGTGCTAAAACTGATGTTGCAAGAGACGATTGCAAGGAATCACACACATTTCTTTCCCAGTAGTTATTGCATTAGTGCATTAACCATGAGACAGCCTCTGTGTTTAGCAGTAGGAAAATATCCCAGACAGTCATCTGACACAGTCGAATGGATCTACTGAAGTTAGAGCAGCTCTCTCAAGATCTTGTGAACTCTAAGCCTGGACCATTCTCTTTGGGAAGAAAAGATTAATCTTGTCATCGATTATTAGCTATTAATCCCAAGAAAGATATAGACGTGTGACAAAATTTTAAAGGCTTGTCAAAGCTTGCAAATGAAGATGGGGTTTCGTGTATCCTCTTGTTTCCTGGGAGTTAGGAAGATGTTATCAAGACAGTCTGTTCAGTCTTTCCGAGTATGAATCCTGTTTGCTGTGACATACTGTTGTGGGCAGGGAAAACAGAAACCAGATTAGAATATATTCAGGTTGAGATGAATATGTTAATACAAATGACTGCAAAAAAGCAAGCTTTCTCCTGCATAAGTAAATAGAAGGAAAAATCTACTGAATTCTCTTCTTATTAGCTTTTAAAACTTGTCAGGAAGCAGATAATTTATGAGAGATGTAAACTTTCATTCATGTTTAATACGTATTATCTTTATGTTCAAGCTGTGACTTGTACTGAAAGGAATGAGGAGCAGATCCTCCTAGGCAACATTACAGGAGGTACCAGGACGTTAGGCCTGAGTAGACAGGGGTAAACTGAAGTCGCATTGCCCGGTTGCTCTCACCATAAGGCTAGGCAGAGATTTAACCGTCCCCCTTTGCTGATCAGTGTGCTAGCAGTAATTTATTTCTGACACGGGCCAGTAATAAATTCCTAGAAGTCTGGAGCTCAAGATCAGCAATTGTGTCTCAAAATATCTCTGAGTTTAAATGTCCTGCTGTTGTTTTAAAGCCATCCTGGTTTATGACCTGTCTTTTGCTCATGTGTGGGCACTTTATATGTCTATATCATATTTACCAACCTCATTTCTGACAAGAGTTTGAAAGTAACCTCTACAGATAAGGTCATGGTGAAATTGCACAGGCAGTGTGACTGCAATTGAAAAGGCCTGTCTGTAGAAGAGACGATAACCCTGCACGTGATCTTCTCTGTAAAAGCCGTTAGAAATGTTTAGGACATATCTCCTTAATTCGCTATTAAGTGTTAGAGAGTCTGAAGCTTCCTGCAGCTCCGTGGAAGCGTTTTAAGTTGTACAGAAGCCTTGTCTTGAAAATCTGTTTGAAAAAAGTTACTATTTCACATCAAAAGTCTTGATTTTAGGCTATTTTTTGTAGAAAATGGTTATATTTCATTAGGAAGCAGGAAAATAACTATTCTTTTTCCCATTAAAATCTATAAATTCCACTAAGATATTCTGCCAAGCTATTTGTATTACCACAGCGGTGGGCCATAATTTTGGAAAAAACATCCAGAAAGACTAGGTAAAACACTGCCTAGAAACACTTAATACACAATTGCTTGAAAAGGAAACCACCTCTAGTTTTTCCTCAAGTATAATTTCCAGCTGAGGGACTAAATTCAGTGACAGAATTGAGAACTTGGCCCCAGTGCCTTGGTATTACATAAATAAATACTTTTTTTTGCCGCAGAAATACCTGAATCTCCACTAGTGGTCAAGTACAAAACTGCATATGCTCTGGAGCCTCCAAGTTTATTGAAGCTTGACTCCTTCCTAAGACCTAAAATGATTTTCAGAAAATGGATCCTTCCCTTCTTCCGTGCAAAAGCCTCGTCTTGTAGTACAACTACCACATTGGTCTTGTGCAAAGAACAGATGACTGTATTTTTTTTTTTAGATGAATATGGATATGTCTTCTACTAGCTCGTGCGTTACTCTGTTCACCTAGATGCTCTTATTCTGCCTGCAGTGAAACGAGGATGTGAATACAGCTATTTGATGCTATAACTGAGACCAGTGAAACAGGAGACGCTTTGCATAGTCAAACCAGGACAAGAGGCAATGGGCACAAACTGAAGCACAGGAAGTTCCATCTGAATATAAGGAAAAACTTCTTGACTGTGAGGGTGACAGAGCACTGGAGCAGGTTGCCCAGAGAGGTAGTGGAGTCTCCTTCGCTGGAGATATTCAAAATCCGTCTGGACGTGACCCTGGGAAATATGCTCTAGAGGACCCTGCTTGAGCAGGGAGGTTGGACTAGATGATCTCCAGAGGTCCCTTCCAACCTCAGCCATTCTGTGATTCTGCGAAACCGCGGAAGAGTGTTGGTGGAGGTGAGCTAGTCTGCAAGGACGCTCGCGTCATATATCTCCTGCCAACTTCAGGAGGAGGTAAGGACCCCTCGTAGGACCAGCCTTTGTGCAGGTACCCAATACACAGGATTAAGAGCAGGTTGTTTAATACACGGCATTTCTTGGCATAGTTCAATTTCCAAAGCAATTTGTCAGAGCGCTGGAGGTGAGAGATGGCTCCACCTCTGCTCATCGTCCCTTGCTGAGCCATAAATTGAGACCGACTGGGAACAAAGAAGGTCTCCAGTAATAGCTTGGCAGGGTGGGAGCAGCCATAAATACGTGGGAGAGAAAGGGGCCGTTTCACAGCAAGCTGGTTATCTCCAGAGTAAAACTGAGCTGCTCGCGACTAAACTTTTTTTTAGCTAATTATAAAGGAGTGATGCTATCCTGCCATTTCTTTATAACTTCAGTCCACACAGAAGTAATCAAGTGGCACCTGAGAGTCCTCCACACAATGGTGTGAATCGTTATTTTATCTCAAATTTTGAATAGAGGGCATGTTTTCTTAGAGCCCATTTTTAATGCAATAAGGCAAATACCAACAAATTCATTTAAAAAGATAACTTTTTAGCTATTCTAGACCCACAGGAAAGCTTCAAAATGTGACTCAAACATAGCCTGAAGGCTCAGAGAGGCAAACAAAGAATCTAAGGTTTGTTATTAATGTTTTTAAACCTTGTACGTTTTGAAAGGTTGGGACGCCAGCATGCTCTCCAAAGGCCAGGAATCAGCAAGTTTAACTGCTAGGATCTAAAAGTGTTAAATGTATTGTATTTTCTGAGAACGCCCTGTAATGTGTGGACCAAGACTCTCTTCAGTTTATTGCAGTATTTTAACCCCGGTTTGACTTAATTTATTGTCCGTGGGAGGGGAGGGCCTCAAACTATCCATCCGCACGTGGGTCGCGACACCGAGGAAAGTGTCTGATGGAGTAAATGGCTTAGGGCTGGCCCGAAAAAATGACTTAGACGAGTAACGTCAGCGCCCAAACAGCAGCCCAAGCCAAAAGCAGGGCTCTTCAACCTCCTTAATCTTTAATGGTGGCCCAGCCGGCCCGCCGGGAGGTCGGCGCATGTGGCAGTGGGAGCTGTCGGGGTCCCCGCCATTGCTCCAGCCGCCTGCAGGGCCTGGGTGGGTGCTCGGGGGTTGCGCGGGGAGGCTCCCGATGGGGCTAGCTGCCCCCACGCTGGGGCAACTGGTCTGCCTGGGGATGGTCCCCCTCTCCCCCACTGGGGGGCATATATTTTGTACTGCGGGCAGGGGTGGGACCTGGGTTTTGTAGGGGAAACGGGTCTTACTGGGCCTTAACGTTATTTGCCTTTTTAAATACCCGCCTAACGTCATCCCCAGGGGCTGCGTCTCCCTGTGTGACCGCAGAGGGCAGGTAACGTGGAAGACACAAAGCCCTAAGGAGGGAGTCACTGTACAGGATGGTGGGGAGGGACCGTGCGTGGGCGGCGTGTTTCGAAATGAGGTGGCTGCCGTGGTTATTAATGTATTTTCTTCTCGTCTTTTTGGTTTTATCATCACGTATGTGGCCATCTGGTTCCTCTGTGGGGCTCCCAAGACTTTTTTGGCAAGCGTCTATGTGAAGATGTCTAGGGTTTTTCCTCTTCAAGCCTTTTTACTGCATCTTATTTCTGGAAACGTTATTTAAAAACAGAGTTTTCATGAGCAGCTGCAGCTTCTACGTGGGTACCATCCTCCTCACTGCAAATAGCGCTGGCGTTGTGGGGCAGAAATAACCAGTAATGTTCACCCAGAAATCTGGTGGCACATTAAGAAAGCGAGTGCGCTCTGCCCGGTGGCCAGGCGCTGTGGCAGGTGGTGCGAGACAGATGCCCGTGGTGCCCTCGGCCTCTGAAGTGAGCGTGTGGCATGGTATCTGGAGGAAGAAGGAAATTTTAAATGTGCTCAAAGCATAGATTCATTCCTTTTGGGTGTTGAGAGGTGAGAAGCCCTTGAATTGTCTTGAATGCTAATTTTTTTTTTTTCCTCCCCTGGGCTGTATCAGACAAGAACCTGCTTATGGAGCTCTTGGGCTCTCTCGGAAGATAAATGTCCCCTATGGAGTCGTATTTATCATGGTGTCTCTTGTAAGAAATACAGCCTATTTTCAGGGTAGCAGAACGGGTTACGGAGAAACAAAATTGGAACAATTCGGCAATCAGCAATCTGGTGCGAAGGCCTTCATGAAAGAGATAAAGCAGTGACTAAGAGCAGAATGAATTTGCTTTAGAAGGAAAGATTAATCATCATGCAAGAGAAAGATTGCTTTGAGTGTAAGCAAGGAAGTTGAGCTAAGAATAATAAAATTAGCCAGAGAAAAAGCAACAAATAACCTAAGTATCAGGAGACAAATTTCAAAGAAGCTTTATCTGGCTGTCGAGTACTCCTCTCCGAGAAGTAGGCTGAGGTGTGCGTTAAGGCTGAGCCGTCTCTAGGGATGGATTCTGGGCTGGGGGGGGGCATACTAAGTTTAGATTATCATTTCAAATTTTTCCATTTCAGAACATCCAAAGCTTTCCGTCGCTGCCAAATCTGGTTTATGGTAATGGAAAGTTATTCTTATCTAACAAAACTGTCTTATAAATTGCCAATATGGGGAACAGCCTGTGGTTCTAGATGTGTATCACAAAATATTGACTTCTGGAAGCCTCAGCTGTCAGACTAAGGACTATATGGAGCTGGAGTCTGAGCTTCCCTATTATCTTTGAGGTATGTTGCAGGGCATTATCCCAACAGGTTGATTTTAAAGGCTGTTCAAATATAGTGTTCCTTAAAGAGCTCTTAATTTAGAGGTCAGAAGAAGGCATACATAGATGAGATAAATAGCTTGAGGCGACATAAGCTGTAGCAAGAGATCTAATAATGATATGCAAATATGTAGCCGGTAAACGTCCGTGGTTTTGGTACTCTGCCCTCCTGGCCACTGTCAGGCTGCAGTTTGTCGTGTGTCCTAAGGAACTGGGGATTTTGAGGAGAGGTTTCAGGTGGGACATGACACTGACTTTATAGTTTTTGGGAATGTGGTATGCAAATAATGCTCTCCTGTGTGGAGGGGATAAATTGTTACTGATGCTGTTTTGCGGTCAGAAGTTTGTGCTTGTGGCACTGGAAGAGAAATGCCAGGAGACTGAATGAAAGTGGATAGTTGGCATTTTTTGCATAAGTCACCATAACTTTTATGCTATTTTTAAAAGGCTTAAAGGTTTGATCAGGAGAAGAATTTTGGCAGTGAGGGGGATGGGGAAAAAAAGTTGAATTTTGGAGCAGCACGTAGGAGAAAATGGTAAGACTTTTGAAAGAGGTCACTCTTTTTTTAGTGAAAAATTATTTTCGGGAAACCTATACTTCACTAAGGTTTCTTTTACATTTGGTGGTTTAGTTTTGGCTTAGTAATAGGCAAGGTAAGAAAACTGAAAAAATCGGAATGCTTTAATCTCAATTATTTTCTGAAGGAGATGTTGAGACAGATTTTGAGAGAGCAAGTGAAAATATAAAAGGAAAGAAAAAAAAAGAAAAGAAATCAAGAGGGGGTCTGCAAGAGAATGAGGACCTAAAGGACTGGGAAAAAGACTTGGCAAGCAGAACTTAAGTTAGATTTTTAACATGGATTTTTATTTGTGCATAATATGCCCTAAATTTTGGTCTGTTTCTGAGGAAAATAGCTCACAGTTCTGTTAATTTGAAAGCAGTAAAAAAGATATGATTTCAGACTTCAGTTGAAAGTAACTGCCTAGAATTATTACTAATTGGTGAAGATGGGGCAAATTCTGCTCTGACTTGCACCTACTCTGCTGTTTGCTACATAAATGGGTCTGTTTTCTGACATCTCTCCTGCTGGGAACCATTATTTCGTGGAAAATGCCATATTGATAGATTATCGTCATCAAGCCTGAAGATTGGCAAATAGGGCAAAGGCAGTGGCTGCACCTGGCCTTCATTCCCACTAACTCAGGATAAAGATCCTAGTGAAAGGAGACAGTTTCTAGTTTTCCAACAAGTTAGTAGGTCAAACTAAAGACAAAACTCTCATCTCAGATTGGCTGGGTGTTGTCTTTGCTGCAAATTCACTTATGCTTGGATTAAGAATTTACTTTTTTTTCCTGCAGGGATTTAGTCCCTGTTACAAAGAGTATAAAGAAATTTCATGCCACTGTAACAGGTACAATAATCTTCTGGCAGAATTCAAATCCCTGCAATTATTATTGCAGCTGAAGCTAAATTAAATTTAACAATACAAAGAGTAGCTTCAGTTGTAACATAAATCTCACTTCAGGCTTTGATGCTTCCGGATTAGTATTTGTGGTTGGAAGGAGACGTAATGAAGCCATAACTGCTTGGCAAAATTCTAAAGCTTACTTATACCCTCCTTAAAGAGAAATTATTTTGATCCACAGCTTTTACTTCAGTTTGATAACCTCTAAAAACTTCTCTCAGTGACTGCTTTAAAAGATGGCTTCTGCAGAATTTACGCTGCAACTATTTTGTGACTGAACATTTTATCAGGTCCTCTGGACCTCATAGGCCACTTGTGCCTCTGCCTTTTCTGTGCACCAGGAGGAGTGTGAAAGATGCTGACCTAGTTTAGGAAGCGGCAGAACAGATTTAGCAAATAATTAAAAAGAAATCCCTCTCTTTCAGAATAATTCTTGCAGAACAATGAAGCAATTTTTGAAGCTTAAAAAATAATAATTTTACTGTATTTTTCATTCAGAAAAACAGCTGAAAGATGAAGACTATGTATTCAGTGGGGAAACTGTGCAGCATCTTGAAGATACTATTGCTGCTATTAAGAAATTGGTAATAAAATCTAGTATTGAGTTTTAATTATATGGACAATAGTTACTTGGTAACCATGCAATTATTATTTTACAGTTGTAATATTAGAAGTTTTTTCTTGTGTGAGATGGACTCTTTTATAAGAGACAGGTGAAGCTGGTGGATGTTTGCATACACTTTGCTGCCCACAGAAGTAGAACAAGCCAACCTGGCTGGGATAAATCACGCATCTGATCCAGGTGTCACCTCTCCTGCTGTGGGACTGATGTTTTAATGTGGGAAGAGCAGGAGTAATTTTCCCTAGGGGCTAGTGAAATCTGAGGAGGGCCAAGACTTCTGTTGAAGTCAAGAGGGGAAGACTCTTGTGCTTAGTGGAGTAAATTGGGACTCAGGATTGAAGTTCTGTTCCCACCTCTTCATAGTTTGCTTTTGAGCAAGGGACATAAACCTCAGATCTACCATGAATGAGTAGGAGCATCACAAAAGTAATCAGAAGGCAGAGGTCAACATATGTAGAGCTCTTAACATCATCGGGACCTTAATGCCACCTGCGCAAAGGAGGGAAATAACACCTCCC